GAAGAAGTAAAATTGTCTCTGTTTGCAGATGATATGATCTTATATGTAGAAAACCCTAAAGATTGCACAAAAAAACTATTAGAACTAATGAATGAATTCAGCAAAGTAGCGGGATACAAAGTCAGCAAGCAAAAAAGGTTGCGTTCCTATACATGAACAATGAACAATCTGAAAAGGAAATTACAAAAACAATTCCATTTACAATAGCATACAAAAGAGTAAAATAGTTAGGAATTAACCAAGGAGGTGAAAGACTTATGTAATGAAAACTACAAATTGTTGCTGAAAGAAATTAAAGAAGACATACATAAATAACACACATCCCATGTTCATTAATTGGAAGACTTAATATTGTTAAGATGTCAGTACTACCCAAAGCAACCTACATATTCCAAAGAGATCTACAGATTCAATTCAGTCCCTATAAAAATTCCAATAAAATTTTTTTTTCAGAAATAGCAAAACCCATCCTAAAATTCATGTGGAATCTCAAGGGACCCTGAATAGCCAAAACAAACCTGAAAAGAAAAACAAAACTGGAGGACTTAACCCAAGTATCCATCGACAGATGAATGGATAAACAATATGTGGTATATCCATACGATGGAACATTATTCAGCCTTAAAAAGGAAGAAAATTCTGACACCTGCTACAACATGGTTGAACCTTGAGGACATTGTGCTAAATGACAGAAGCCAGTCACAAAAGGACAAATACTGTATGACTCCACTTGTATGAGGTACTTAGAGTAGTGAAAATTATAGAGACAAAGTAGAATGGTGGTTGCCAGGGGCTGGGAGAGGGGGATGGGGAGTTAGTGCTTAATGGGGATAGAGTTTCAGTTTTACAAGAAGAAAAGAGTTATGGGGATGGATGGTGCTGATGGCTGCACAACAATGTGAATGTATTTAATACCACTGAACTGTGTACTTAAAGATGGCTAAGATGGTAAATTTGATGTTATGTGTATTTGACCACAACTTAAAAAGTGGGGGGATGGGCCGGCCCTGTGGCTTGGTGGTTAAGTGTGCGTGCTGCAATGCTGGTGGCCCGGGTTCGGATCCCGGGTGCACATCGAGGCACCACTTCTCCGTCCATCCTGAGGCCGAGTCCCACATACAGCAACTAGAAGGATGTGCAGCTATGACATACAACTATCTACTGGGGCTT